TGGCTGCAGACTCCAAATTTCCCACAGATTTGATATCATTACTGCCACCAACTTGTTCTGCATGAGAAAACATCGTTTAAGTTTGCTTTCCTATTAAAGCAGAGGTGCTCTACACGTACACCGCGGCAATGGAAGACTCTCCACAGAGCATTCTCCAGACGAATGAAGGGATCTGCTTCAACATAATGTAGTGTTAACGGATTGAAACACGATCTGTCTGCACCAGACAATGCACACTAACCAACGAAGGGGAAGGTGGCCGACATGACGGCATTTGTTTGCTCAATATGCAAAACTGTATTCATTGAGAAATTATTTTTGGAATTCTGGAAAATAATTACTTTTATGATCTTGGCTGCAGTAAAACTTTTCAGAATTTAATATTTGAAAAGTAACTGAGATTAAGCCGCGCTTAAATATTCTATAAGTTAGGATACTCATTTAGACTGGGAAACGGAAGGCACCGTAACTTGAACGTGAGAATCTAAATTTACATTGCAAGCTGCCGAAAATGAGCTTGGAGATGGTAAGCGGTGATGAAGAACTCCAGCCCCGGTCCGGGAAAATATCGATTCGCTGTTTTTGGCAACAGCGTTGAGAGTTGGGGAAAGAAGCTGTAGATGCCGTCAAGGAGTAAAAACAGCAGTGGTAGACTCGCGGAGGGGGGAAGTCTTCAATGCTCCGATAGGTCATTTTGTCGATGGTTTGTCAGCTTGCCAAGGACAAAGGAAGATCCAAGTATAATGCTGACGTGGTTGGACTCGAACCCACGCACATCAACTGTTCTCGAGGAAAAAAAAAACAACTACCTGCCAAATTGTAGCTTCGACGGTAATGCGTTCTGTGGTAACAGCGGGTCCAACTATTCCAGGTCCTGCTCTAGAAGACAGATAATAATCCCAGAGCTTCCAAACTGTTTGCAACTTGTCCTAATCATTACTGACACCATTTACAATTATTTTTAATTTAACTAGAATTGTTCAACTATTTTATCAGATATTATAATACTACTTATAGTATGATCTTTGGGAGCGACAACCGGATTGGTTAACAATTCACTTGGCTTTCGTCCAATCCGT